TATTTAAAAATACAAATGTAACTTATTTATATCATTTAATTTATTAGTAACTGAAGGTAAAATATACTATACTTTGCGTGTTACGGTATATGGCGCTGTTTTTAAATGTAAAACGTAGATCGTCTCCGTAGTTTCATTTAAAATCTAATAAATTCTAATTATAAGCTTTATATATAACTATGTTTTTTTAAACTAAGTTTTCTCGGTTTAACTATCATAATCATAATATATAAAATTAAGATCTAAAGCAAGAAAAATACTTAATCCTCCTTCTTTGGAAGTTCCGTAATCGGATAAAAAGCTTATAAGTTGCCGTGGTTCATTAATTTCCTAAACACAAAATTTCATGAAAATCCGTCCATTAGTTTTTGCATGAATCCTGTATACACAGACAGACAAAAATTCTAAAAACCATTGATTTGGCTTCAGTATCCTTTATTTAGTCCCCTGGATTTATCTTATCCAGGAAATACTAATATTACAGATACGACTTTCATACACACTTATACAGGGCTGTTTTTCAAAGAGAAGACAAACTTTAATTTAAGTACAAATAACGTTAATGCAGTTTTTGAAAATAGGAGTAAATAAGGTTTCTACTCTTATTTGAAATTATTCCAAATTGAATATAATTTATGGGTATTATACCGATCGACCCTTACTAATGTGCACGTGCGCAGTAAAATCAGTTAAAATAATGCATTACCCCGCATTTTCTACCGACTTCAAAAAGGAGGAGGTACTCAATTCGATTGTATGTTTTTTATGACTGTAACACTCATAAAAAACATACATTCGACTAACTAACTCAATACTAACTCATAACTTTATTCTGGGTGTACCGACTTTTTATTTGAAAGCTGGTGCTTCTCATGTGGCCCCATATAAATTTGATCAAGGTCTGACCAATAGTTTTTGAGTTATTCTTAATAATATATATATTGAAGTCGGTTGTACCAAAATTTTAATTTTAAATTATGAATTTAAAAGATAAAAAGGAAAGAATGTTTGAGAATTTTTGTAATTAATTTTTCTTCGAAATTTGCCTTTTTTATAGAATAAGGGTGACAAACGAGCACGTAGTCCACCTGATGGTAAGTGGTTGCTGTGGGCTGTGGCCCATAGACTTAGGCCCATAGTCATCGGGGTCAGATCGAATCAGAGTGCAGCATTTAAAATTTATTAAAAAGTCATTAGTCCTATCATAGAAAATTTTATTAATATGTGTATTAAAAAAAGGTGTTTACCCAGAAGAACTAAAAAAAAACGATAGATACGTTTATCTATAAGCAGGGGTCGCATCAAGAATACACAAACTATAGACCCATCGCCATACTTAATGTAATCAATAAAATTACCTAGTTTACCTATTTTAAAAAAGCTTTTGACACACTGGACCACGATGGCTTGTTGCAGTCTATGGAAGAGTGCGGTATATAAATAGCAATGTAAATAACTGTAAATGTCTGAAGTTAGAACAAGTCATATTGTCAAAATTTCCATTATCCTAAACTATTAATTTGTGAGATTGATAAAATTTGTATTTCACGTTTAAAACAATGACGTTGAAAATGTGCATAATGTATGTAAATATATTATGTACATATTGTAAAGTTAAATGCATTTGCGCAGAGGAATAAATATTTATCAGGATTTAATTTTGGATTACTATACGCCTTACAATATAAAAAACTGGATACAGTAACTAAATTAAGTTTATTTAACTATTACCTTTCTGAACATCACTTACAACTAATCTGTTTTAAAACAGGCGTACTTATTGAAAAATTGATTCTCATCAATAGTTTAAAATTTTAAGACAAAGTCAGTTAATTACAATACATTCAGTAGTAAATAAGACCTTGATTTAAAATTTGAATTTCAAAGCAATAAAACCGTTGTCATACCTATGTATAGATTTAGAATATGTATAATCATGTATTTTTTTATTGAATTTTGAATCTGCGTGGACTATGATTAACATTACAACCAGACGTGATGAAACTAGTTGAGCAGACGTGATTGTTTTATTAAATGATAAAATCGAATATTTTGCTTTTGTAAAACACGATTTATTCTTTTCGCTAATCAAATGTATGCTTTATTCAAAATTCAGTGGTTTCTTATTAATATTTAATACTGACCAATTTATTTCAAATAAGCATTTAAATCACAAATTTTCTTAAAATCTATGGACTCTAGTCAGCATTGAATTCGAATCAATGAAAATAGGAGAGTTAAAATATTAAGATGGTTTGTGAATTAGTAAGAAAGAAGTAGTAAGTAGTAAAAAATAAATGAAAGTAAGTTAACTGACATTGATTTAATAGAGTAATCTATTAAAGTACTGCAAACTTTAAAGTGTTTGCGGTTCACTTGATAAGTTGAGCATGTAATTCAATGTTCGCCGAAGGCTCTTCAAATTGAAGTCAACAAGTATTTACAAGCCTATTGCGAGTATACAAAATGCGTTTTTAGACGTGCGTAACGTTAACCCACCGCAAGCATGGCTGTAGGTATAGACAATCTGTAGCGCACGAATTGTAAAAACATAAAATATTTTCGACTGATATTTACAACTATTATTTCAATATTTTCTCCATACAAATATGAAATCAACCCGTAAAACAATTTTTAAAATCTGGAACAAAATAGTTCATCCCCTAAGGTATTGGATTTTTCAATATTCTTTTTTGAGTGGATGCCTGCATAATAAAATAAAGTTATTGTAATTAATTTAAATATATTTTAAATATATTAATTTAAATATATTTTAAGAAATACATGTATATTTTAAAGTTAGTATTGATATATTATGAGCTATTTTGCCAATGAGTAATATAACTATGAGCAGCGATTACGAAAATAGATCATATATAGATTAGGAAAAAATCCGCTTCTTTGTATCGCCGTAGATTAATAATAATATTAATCATTTATCAGCTATTCTGGAATGATCTTTGTCTGCACCCATGAACTCAAACCTGGGTATGCCAGAAGAAGCATAAAAGCAAGTTAAATGCAGTGGAGATGCGATCTCTTCGTAAAATGTGCGGCGTTACCATGGCCGACCGAAAGCGAAACGAAGAGATTCGCAATATGGCAGGTTTGAAAGATGACCTTATCACAAAAATTGATAAGGGCGTGCTTCGGTGGTTTGGGCACGTTGAGCGAATGAGTGAAGACCGAATGGCGAAGAAAATATATAGCGCGAAAGTTAATATTAAAAGGTGTCGAGGTAGACCGAGACTAACTTTCAAAGACCATGTGAGCAAATTGCTCGAAGAGGGTAGGGTCAAGAGTACTCGGATACCTAGACGTGCATGTATGAAGAAGGTAATGAATCTGAAAGAAGCGAAAGAGGTCTCTCTGGCTACCCCGTCAGGGATTGTGCGTGAAGATAAGTAAAGTAAAGTAAAGTAAATACATAATAATATATATTCATATACACACATACCTACATATACATACACATTTATAAATATTTTGTAATACATTATTACTATATATCATATACATAAACCTTATCAAGAAAAGTAGATATGAAAATAAAATATATTAAGTAGAACGCATATTTAAATAATAATCTTTAACCATATTTTTGAAAGACTCAATGCTTTGGGCTTTCTTAATTGTTAAAGGAAGCGAGTTTCATAATTTGATTGCTTTGACACACAAGGAGGAATGAAAAATTTTGAGTTGTGAGCAGGCATACGTAATATAAGTTTATCAGCTATTCTGGAATGATCTTTGTCTGCACCCATGAACTCAAATTTTTCTTTACGATAACTCGGTGTTTTAGAATCAAATAGTACACAGTACAGTAGAGATAGAATATGAGTATTCCGACGAAGTCTGAAGCCACTTAAGCTTAATACGGTACTCGGAAACATGATCATATTTGCGAAGGCCAAATATGAACCTAATACGAGTAGCCAAGTTCTGAAGACGCTCAAGTTTATTTAATTGTAAATCCTCAGTAAGATTAGAATAGCATGCATCATAACAATCAAGGATAGGCAGTAACAAGGATTGTGCCAGTAAAATTCTAGTAGGAATGGGAAGCGAGTTACGCAAACGTCTTAAATAAGATGCTACCGCAAACATCTTTCTGTTGGACTCCTTAATATGCAGGGACCAAGAAAGATTCTGATCAATATATAATCCTAGGCCTTTTACAGATTTACTAAAAGGTATCACAACACCATTAACAACAATAGGTGGAAAGTTATCCCAAAAATTCTCGAGACAACTTATTACCTATTACAACTTATTTTTACTGTAAATATATTTTAAGAAATACATGTATATTTTAAAGTTAGTATTGATATATTATGAGCTATTTTGCCAATGAGTAATATAACTATGAGCAGCGATTACGAAAATAGATCATATATAGATTGGGAAAAAATCCGATTCTTTGTATCGCCGTAGATTAATTAATTAAATTTAATTTTGGCATCTGTATTTATATATTATATATTTATACATATACTAAATATTTATGTATTTATATATTGTAACCAAATTAAAATTTCAATAAAGTATTCAATGTTTTGTTTTTTTATTAGTGAACATATTTATTATATATATATAGTACGTGAGGGTAATATGGTGGCTTACGATAGCTATTCATCAGTCAATCAAATAATAAAGTGTCAAAAGGGCGCCAAAAAATGACAGTTGAGAATATAGAAAAAATATTAGTTGATTTTAGTATTGTGTAGTGTAGTTAGTTTTACATAAGTTCATTTTTCGAAGTGTTTTTAATTATTGCAAAAGCTTGTTTGCTATTTTTTTCTTAATATATTAGTTATAGTATACAACTTTGTGGTTTTGTCTCTGAACTCCTAGTTTTGGTTTTATAGGGCGACAAAGCTTAAGGTGACCATATTACCCTCACATACCTTATATATATTTTACAATTACATAGGGCATATACCTTATATATATATATATATATATATATATATATATATATATATATAAATATATATATTTTACAAACTGTGATGCTGGAATCCTCTCCTCACAATATTTGTTTGCCATGGAACTGAGCCTGCATTAGACAAAAAATATGTTTTGAATTTTTCTCGAATTTCGAATACGGCTTGGGACGCATTACCCCCGATTTGAAATAAATCTACTAAACCGTGATTCACATTTTCTCTCAAATCTTCTTCTGAGCAATAAGTCTTGCTATTTCTCAAAAAGTTATGTAAAGCAACTGTTGCTGCTACTACAATGTTTACATGTTCAGGAGTCAAGGACAACCGTCTTTGATATATTCTAAACCTTCTTGCCAGTATACCGAAAGCATTTTTGCAGACACGACGAGCTCTCCTTAGACGATAATTAAAAATTTTCTTTTCTTCATTACTTATATCTTGGTTGCCAGGATATGGCCTCATTAAAAATCTTCGCAAAGGGAAAGCCACATCCGTCACAATTACATATATTCTTCTGTGCCTGGTAAGCATGCATCTCTAGGAACATTTAGTTTGTTTTGTGTCAGCGATTTTCCCATAACAGAGTTTGAAAATATGCACCCATCGGAATTCTTCCCGAGACCACCTATATCCAAAAGCGTTAATTTGTATTCAGCATCAACTAATAGCCAACAAAACAATAGAAAATGTCTTTTTATAGCAATAGTACTTGGTACTACTATTGTGTGGACATTCGATTACCACATGCTTTCCATCCAACCCACCAATACACTTTGGGAAATTCTATTTTCGCCAAAAAGCTTTCGCAATTTCTTTCCACTCTTGTTCCGTGGGTGGTGTTGGCTGCATTTTGTTCCATATTGTCGCGCAAGTTTCATAAACAATCGTTCTTACAGTTTTTTCTCCCATTCTAAAACTGAAAGCCAACGTGTTTAGGCCAAATATTAACATTTTAAAAAACTTGCATTCAAGACGCGCGTCTCGGCGTGTCCTTCGGATGGAATTTAAAGGTCACCACCGGCCCCCTCTCCCGGGTGGGTCTCTCGACTTACCGCTCGGTCGCCTGACGAGTTAATTGTTTGCGTCCGCGGTGTCGATTAGACGGTCTGGAAGTTACGCCCGGAACGTTGGGTCGCGTTAAGACCGCCTCGAATTGCATTGTCTTATTTCGTGCGTTTTACGTGACAACGAGGCTTTGTATTGAGTTTTGAATTATTAACTTAACTTCGCTTGCCATTAATTTGCGTCGACAAGTTGCTTGTGTGTCATTTTAATATCGTACGAAGGAATTTTTGCTTTGTCGGGTGGAACGCTAAAATTTGTGACTCGAGAGGAGATCACATTCGGGCTCGGTTATAATCTTGTGCTAAGTGAACATGGGACATTGAATTTTGACCGATAGTTCTTAAGTTGTGCAGTGTGTCACGTGTTTTAAGTTCCATTAACGTTGATTTAGTTAAATTTGAAGTTACTTAAATGTACAATAAAGTTGATAAACTAATATAGTGAAATAAAAGCAGAAAGTCTCCATTGGTGAATGCCCACTGGAGGGATTGCACATTGTGGAGAAAAGCAGCGCTTGTGGGTTTGCTCTCAGATTATATCGATGACGTCAGGTTACATTTATACACACTTTCGCACACTACTTACATACACCTTACCTACCACCTGACTGATACCCTTTTTTTTTTTTTACATGGGGAAATGCCTACGCATACCCGCCTCGCGGGGGCAAGGACGGGTTATGTCGGACTCGCACCGACTAAAACCCCATGGTGTTCCACACTCGTCGCATATTGGCAGGGCCACGGGAACGCTTTCGCACACTTCCGCGGCCCCACCTGCGCTGGCCGCCCCATGGCGGCCCCTCCTCGGGAGAGGAACACTCCTCCTTCATCTCCTTCTCAGGTAAGGCGCACCAGAACACATGGTGCGCCCTCCTTCTCGGCCTCCAATTTCCAATGCGCAACGGCCGCCCCCGTGTCCGATGCGCGAAGGCCATGGGGCCAGGAGAAACTAGCACTCAGAAGCACCGGCCTTCCTGACCCCAGCGGCGGATCTGGTCTATGGCTCCGCCGCCAACCGAGATTCGGCTGCGGAGGGTAGGGAGAGCGGCGCCTCGCAATACCGACACTCCTCTCCCCCCGCAGCCCCACCACCACCGCAACATTAACGGTGCGGCCCCGTCAGAGTCGCGGAGGATAGGGCGAGTGGCGCATCGCCATACCAACACTCCTCTTCCTCCGCGACTCCACCTCGGCTGCAGCGGTAGAGGGTGCGGACTCCCCTCTCACCGCAGCCCCCCGACACACATCCGAAGTGGGCTCGCCAAGCCCACTCGGAGTGGCCACCTCGGGCCGGCCCTACACCTCGGGCCAGCCAAGGGGTTCCTCTTTGTTCACCGTGGGTGACCAAGCCACGGCTACTAAGCCCCCCCGCCACGACAAGGCGGGAACCCGTTCGGGGGGGACCTGACTGATACCCTGTGGTCAACCCTACCTCCGGAACTCGGTAAGTTTGTGTTTGCTTATCAGCCATTAGTTAATAATTATCCATAGGCCATTTGGGCCCGAACTCTTTGGTTGCCCGTCGAGTGTATTACTCATGGGCCCTAGTACAGTCGACTTCTGTCGGGCAACTGAGGGCTGTAACATTTTCTGGTAGCAGAGCGTGGTTGATTGTAGCTCCAAACACGCCCGGCCGTAATAAAAAAAAATATTTTTTTATTTTTTTATTTTTTTTTGTTTTGTTCGCGGATCGGTGATAAGAACCACGCTCGTTAGGCTGCTCAAGCAGGAGTGTACTTTAGGGTTAGGAACCTACGCGACAGGTATTTCAGGTAGGTAGATTAAATTGCCGAAGGGTCGGTCGCCTGGGCGTGGCATCTTGCTGACCGACTGTAGTGTGTACTTGCCGTGTAGTGTAATTTGTATTTAATTTAATTTAATAGTAATTTGTATTTAATGTAATTTAATAGTGATTTGTATTTAGTAGTGATGCCATCGCACAAGCTACCGGCGCTTCGCCTGCAGGCGGAGCTGCACTGGGCCGCGAACGGCTGTACCTAGATAGGGCGAGCCGATCGGGTCCATAGTTTAGGGAAGCGGCTCGAGCAGGTCGTGGCACGAAGGGCCGTAGTGGAGGAGGCTTACACTGAACTTGTGACCTCGGATGCAGAACAGGGAGTCCTAGACTCCTGCCTCCCAGACTACGACCATATTTTTTCGCTCACGACGACTTGATCGAGGCGGGGGCCAAGTATGATAATGAAGCACGTTAAGCTCGGCCGAGTGGCCTGCCCGAGTCCCCTCGGAAGAAGCCCACTCAGCCGGAGCTGTTGGGACAACTCCCAACTCTGGACCTGCTGAGGTTCTCCGGGGTTCTCTCCGACTGCATGACCTTTGTTTGCCTTTTTGATAGCCTAGTGGACGCCCGGAGGGACTTGACACCAAGCCAGAAGATGGCGTACCTCCTAGCCTCACTTGAGGGGGAGGCACTGGGCGTTGTCGGCCATTTGAAATTGTCGGACGACGCCTACCAGACTGCCCGGGACCTCCTCGCCGGAAGATACGCCAACGTCCGGCGAATCGCGGACGAAATAAGTGAGGCAGTTTCTAAACTTCCCGCTGCTTAGGGAACGGGCCAGACTACGTCCGGGCATCGTAAATCCAGTCGTGGTGGCCTGTAATTCGTTGAGGCGGCTGGATTTACCGGTGGACGAATGGTCCTTCTTGTTGCTCCACATCGTGCTGTCCCGCCTGCCTCTTGACCTTCGGGTACATTTTTAGGAGAGGTACGGCGGGGACGGCGCCTCCTATATTCCGCCCTTCAGGGATCTGCTTCGGTTCTTAGAGGAGCAGTGCCGGCAAAATGAGAACGCAGCGGGCACCGTCGATGACTTACGGGTTGCCAACCGAGCCGTGCCCAGGGAGAGGCGGAATCCGCCGGGCAAGTCGGCGCCAACCCCCCTAAGGTCCATTGGAGCACCGACAGGAGGGCGCCGCCCCCTATCATCTTACAGAGGCCTAGCGGCCAGGGAGGCGCCCCCTGCTCTTATTGTCGAGCATCCGATCACCCGGTGACGTCGTGCCCGAAGTTATTGGGTAAGCCGGTTCCGGCGAGGCGAACTATCGCCAAGGAGCGCCGCTGGTGCTACTCGTGCTTGGAAAGGCACCTCCAACGAGACTGCCCGCACCAGCGGCTCTGTCCGCACTGTCAGGGCAACCACCATGCCGTTTTGTGCCTGGGTGCGAACGGCGTCTCCTCTCGGGGCACTGCCGGGCCCTCGACCCCCACGGGTGGGGCGCTCAGCCACGCCCTCTGTCGGGCGACGCTCGACGCTCGCCTGCCGGCCACCGTGCCCCTGGGTTTGAAGGGGGTCCCTCCCCCGACCAGTCGGGGGGTTGTTCCCCCAGGGGCGGGAGGGGCCTCAAGGCCGAGGTTCCCGACAGCCGAAGCGCCTCAGGTCGGCCCGTTCGGTGATTTCCAACTCGGGTCAGTGAGATGCCGCCGGAATGTCGCTTTCGGGACCCCCGGTTCGAGTGTCGGTCCGATGGAGGCAGCCCCAGCTAGGTAGCTGCTGCCCTAGCTCCTACCATGGCCGCCTCCACTGATCCTCTCAGCCGTCAACAGTCCACTTGTCAAACTGTTCTATTACCGACGGCCTCAGTGAAGGTGTACAACCCGAGTGGTGACTGTTTAACGGTTCGCGCTCTATTGGATTCGGGTTCACAATGCTGTGTGGCCTCTTGGTTAGTGGGAAGACTAGGGCCCCCTGGAGCTCTGAATTACGTCCAATGGTAGGTATTGGAGGTGCCGAGCCTCCTGCTCCTAGGGGACAAGCGGAGTTGATGTTTGGCCCTGCCAGCGAACACCTTCACATTCTAGTTAAGGTAAATGTCCTCGATGACATTGTAGGTTTTCTCCCTAACGTCCGTATAAATAACAGCGCGGTTCGTTGTGCGTCGGGTTTGAGACCGGCAGACCCTCAATGGTACCAACCTGGGCCTATAGATTTGTTGCTGGGGGCCGACGCGCTGGGGTTCATCTTGTTAGGCGAGATACGAGCCCTATAGCCCGATGGCTTGTCAGCCATGTCCACTGTATTTGGGCATAGCTTCATTGGACCGGTTCTGTGGTCTCCACCTCCTCAGACGGCCGACCCGCTCTCTGTTGTGGGCGTGTCCATTTCGGAAGTCGTCCAGCGGTTCTGGGAAATTGAAGAGCCACCACACGCGGCTCGAGTCAACCCTCTGGACCGTGAGTGCGATTTGTTCTACCAGAACAATACCGGCCGTCGTTTCGACGGTCGTTTTGTCACTCGCTTACCCTTTCTTGACTCACGGCCCCCTTTGGACCAATCTCGTACCCTGGCCGAAAAAAGGTTGCTTTCCATGGAGCGCCGTATGCGGCACGACCCAGCCTTTTGCGACAAATATGTCGAGTTCATGCGCGAGTATCAA